GACGGACAGCGGACAGTCCTCTGGGGGTACAGGACAGACGGACGGACAGCGGACAGTCCTCCAGGTTCTCTGGAATGCTGGGAAGCGCCACCAGCCCCTCGGGAACGAGGACAGGCGGGGGGAGCGGGGTCTGGGGGGGCAGGACGGACTGACGGACAGCGGACAGTCCTGCGGGATTTCCGGGAATGCCGGGAAGCGCCACCAGCCCCTTGGGGAGGGTGCCATGAGGGGGAGAAGGGTCTGGAGGGGCAGGACGGACAGACGGACAGGGGACGGTCCTCTGGGGGTACAGGACAGACGGACGGACAGCGGACAGTCCTCCAGGATTTCCTGGAATGCTGGGAAGCGCCACCAGCCCCTGGGGAGGGTGCCACGAGGGGGAGCGGGGTCTGGGGAGCAGGACGGACAGACGGACAGCGGACAGTCCTCTGGGGGGGGGGCAGGACAGACGGACGGACAGCGGACAGTCCTCCAGGATTTCTGGAAGACCGGGAAGCGCCACCAGCCCCTGGGGAGGGTGCCATGAGGGGGAGAAGGGGCTGGAGGGGCAGGACGGACAGACGGAGAGGGGGAGCAGGGTCTGGGGGGGCAGGACAGACGGACGGACAGCGGACAGTCCTCTGGGGGGGCAGGACAGACGGACGGACAGCGGACAGTCCTCCGGGATTTCCTGGAATGCTGGGAAGCGCCACCAGCCCCTCGGGAGCGAGGACAGGCGGGGGGAGCGGGGTCTGGGGGGGCAGGACAGACGGACGGACAGCGGACAGTCCTCCAGGATTTCCGGAAGACCGGGAAGCGCCACCAGCCCCTTGGGGAGGGTGCCACGAGGGGGAGCGGGGTCTGGGGGGGCAGGACGGACAGACGGACAGGGGACGGTCCTCGGGGGGGGCAGGACAGACGGACGGACAGCGGACAGTCCTCCGGGATTTCCGGGAATGCCGGGAAGCGCCACCAGCCCCTGGGGAGGATGCCATGAGGGGGAGAAGGGGCTGGAGGGGCAGGACGGACAGACGGAGAGGGGGAGCAGGGTCTGGGGGGGCAGGACGGACAGACGGACAGCGGACAGTCCTGCGGGATTTCCGGGAATGCCGGGAAGCGCCACCAGCCCCCGGGGAGGGTGTCGGAGAGCGGCAAAGTCCCGCGGGTTTCCCCGGGAGGTTGGGAAGCGCCACCAGCCCCTCGGGGAGCGGTGCCACGGGCGGGGGTGGAGCGGGGGCAGGACGGACGGACGGACGGACGGACAGGACGGACAACCTTGTACTCCTCGGCCGCCTCGTCCACGGGCACCACGGCGTGGGGCCGGTGCTCGCGGGAGCGGTCGCACACCACGCAGATGGGGCGCCCGTCGTCGCGGCAGAAGAGCTTGAGGGCCTCGCGGTGCCGCGGGCACTGCCCGGGGGCCGCCTCGGCGCCGCCCTGGTGGCCCCGCTGGGCGAACTGGGCGATGATCTCGGCCATGTTGGCGAGCTGCCGGTTGGGTCGGAAGCTGCGGCGCTGGAAAACCTCCCGGCACTGCGGGCAGGGGAAGTCGCCGTCCAGGTCCCGCCAGCTCTTGGCGATGCAGGGGCGGCAGAAGTTGTGGCCGCACTCGATGGACACCGGGTCGCGGAAGAACTCCAGGCACACCGAGCAGGTCGCCTCGTCCTGCAGGTTGCCCGGCAGGAAAACGCCGGCCATGGCCTCGGCCCTCCTCCTGCGGGGCGCGGGCCGAGCTCAGGGAAGCGATTCCCGGCGGTCGGGGATCGAATCCCGGCGGTCGGGGATCGAATCCCGGCGGTCGGGGATCGAA